GTGTCATTTAAGGCCAACGTCTCCTTATTGATCTTCTGTTTAAATGATCTATCCATTGGTGTAAGTGGAGTGTTAAAGTTCCCTACTATTATTGTGTTACTGTCTATTTCTGTTTTTATGTCTGTTAATAATTGCTTTATGTATTTAGATGCTCCTACATTGGGTGCATAGATATTTACAAGTGTTATATCATCTTGCAGGATTGTTCCCTTGATCATTATGTGGTGCCCTTCTTTGTCTCTTTTTACAGTTTTTGTTTTAAAGTCTATTTTTTCTGATATGAGTATTGCTACCCCAGTTTTCTTTTCATTGTCATTTGAATGGAGTATCTTCTTCCATCCCTTCACTTTCAGTTTGTTAGTGTCTTTACGTCTCAAGTGTGTCTCTTGCATGCAGCATATATATGGGTCTTGTTTTTTAATCCAATCAGCCACCCTATGCCGTTTAACTGGAGCATTTAGTCCATTGATGTTTAAAGTAGCTATTGATAAGTATGTACTTATGGCCATTTTTAAACTTTTTTTCTCAGTGTTTTCATATTTCTTCTCTGTTCCTTTCTTCTCTTGCTCTCTTCCCTTTTGGTTTGTTGGCTTTTTGTAATATTATGTTTGGGTTTCTTTCTCTTAGATTTTGTGTATTTATTGTAGGTTTCTGGTTTGTGATTACCATGGAGTACATATACAGTAACCTATGTATATAGCAGTCTATATTAAGTTGATGGTCTCTTTAATTTGAGCTCTGTCTGAACCTCTACTCTTGAACTCCCCTCTTCCCACATTTTATGTTTTCTATATCATATCTAACCTCTTTTTTTTTTTGCTTTTGTATCCATTACCCTCTTATCATGGAAATAGATAATTTTTCCTATTTGTGGTCTTGTCTTTTCCCCTTAGATAAGTCCCTTTAGAATTTCTTGTAGTACTGGTTGCTTGGTGACAAACTCATTTAATTTTTGCTTGTCTGGGAAAGTTTTCATCTCTCCTTCCATTTTGAATGATAACCTGGCCAGGTAGAGTATTCTTGCCTGTAAGTTTTTTCCTTTTAGTGCTTTAAATATATTGTGTCACTCTCTTATAGCCTGTAAGGTCTCTGCTGAGAGGTCAGCTGATAGCCTTATGGGTTTCCTTTGTAGGTAACTTGTCTTTCTCTTGCAGCTTTTAGGATTCTCTCTTTATCTTTAATTCTCAACATTTTAATTATGATGTGTCTTGGTGTGGGCCTTTTTGGGTTTATCTTGTTTGGGGCTCTCTGTGCTTCCTGTAACTGGATGTCTATTTCCTCCCTTAGGTTAGGGAAGTTTTCAACTATTATTTCTTCAAATAGATTCTCTGTCCCTTTGACTTGCTCTTCTCCTTCTGGGACACCTATAATACAGATGTTAGTGTGCCTTGATGTTGTCCCAGAGGTCCCTTACACTGTCCTCACTCTTTTAAATTATTTGTTCTTTTATCTGTTCAGCTTGGGTGATTTCTTCTAGTCTTTCATCCAGATCACAGATCCGTTCTTCTGTATCCTCTACTCTGCTTTTGAGTCAGTCTAGTGAATTTTTCATTTCCAGTATTTTATTCTTCATTTGTGATTGGTTATTTTTTATATCTTCCATTTCTTTGTTGACATTCTCACTGAATTCATCCATTCTTCTCTCCACATCAGTGAGCATCCTTAACACTCTTTATTTGAACTCTCTGATGGTTAGGTTGCTCATTTCTGTTTCACTTAGTTCCTTTTCTGGGGTTTTGTCTTGTTCTCTTACGTGGAACATATTCCTTTGCCTCCTCATTTTGCCTCTTTCTCTGTGCTTGTGTCTATGTATTAGGTAGGTCAGCTACATCATCCTGCTCTTGGAGAGTTGACCTTACGTAAGTAATGACTTATGGGGCCTTGCAGTGTGCTTCCCTCAGTTCTGAATGTTCCCGGAGTGACCCTTATGTGGCTTACATATGTCCTTCTGTTGTGGCATGGTTGCTCTTCCCATAGGTTCCTGGGGAAGCTGAGCTATGCCCCGGCCAGCCATTGTAATGTTCAGCTGCTTGTAGTTGTTGTGGGCCCCTCAGTCTCTTTATCGGGTGTGGAGTTCCCCAGCAGAGTTGGCTGCAAGTTCTAATACCACATTTGTGTTTCAGTATTTCTTTTAAATAAGTAGGGCCCCAGGGTGGCAGATTCTTAGGCTCAGGGGCTTACAAATGCTATAACCCTCCAGCCTTTATGTCTCTTGTCAGCTCTCTGAGGATTGTAACTGTGTAGAGCTGGCCTCAGGCACAGAAGCATCCAAATGTTTCACGCTTTGGAAGGTAGGGCTGATCCCCTATGTGGCTGTTTAAGAACCATAAGTCTTCTGCAGCTGGCAAGCCCCACTTCCCACAGTTCCCCACACACAGTCAACACAGTCCTGCCCTGTGTGCACACCCCAACCTCCTGAAGTGGACCCAGTCTCTCCAAGGCCCCACACATTGCACCACCAACACACACTCTCCTTCTGCTCCTTGTGCACGCCCTGCCCCACAGAGAGGTAGACCCACTCACCAGTCTGCGGAGAATCCAGGCAGCTCACTTAGCAGGCCCACAAGTTGCCTGAGGGCTTGTTGTTGAGTGGGACAAGTCCCTAGGGTGGGCTACCCACCCTGGCTGAGCTGGATTAAATTGGTGCCCTAGTGGGTGGGGCGGACCCTGGGCTGGCAGGCCAGGAAGAACTCCAATGGTGTCTGCCAGCATCTGTGTCAGCACGCCCACACCAGGCCACATCAATGGCTGCCGCCAATGTCCCAATACCTGGAGAGGTCTCACCTCTCACTGAGTTGCATTCAGAGCCTATCAGATGAGTCTCTTTTCACCAAAGGACTGTGCACCTTTCTTTCTGGTGTTTTTAGGTTGCTTTCTGAAATGGGTGAGTTTCTGTATGGGCCCTTTAAGAACCGATTTTAGTTTCTTTGTGAACCAGCTTCTCTGGGGGTACTCCCCAATGTTTTAGTAACAAGCAAAGTCAGATATTATGCCACTCATCTCGATTGTGCTGGGTCCAAAACATGCCTACAGCGGGAGCACTCCCCAACTCGGGGCCCCACTCTTCCAGGGAGGGCTGGGTACCTTTGGGCTGCTCCCGGGTGGCAGTGAGACACAGCGGCTTGTGAAGGTGGCGTTTTTTTCTCTCCAGAAGGGAATTTCTGCCTCTTTCACTTCAATTAGGATTGTTGTTTCTTGTAGGAATTTCTCTTATCCAGTTTTCAGTTCTCTCTCAGGGGTAATTTTCCAAGAGTAGTTGTAAATTGGCTTTGTCCACGGGAGGAGGTGAGTTCAGAGTCCTCCTATATTGCCATCTTGACTTCTCCCTCTTCTTTTGTAACATTGTTATTTTCTCTGAAGAATTGTAGACTTAGAAAACCATCACACTATCTATATACATCCACGTCTTAGTAATATTTTTCACATGCTAGTCAGATTGAAGGCACGATTAACATTGAAATAAAAGTTTAGATATATTTACTTGTTAGTAATTCTCACCCTTTATGCCAAAATCACTTCAGAGGAAACTACCAGATGAGTTAGTATCCTAGAGCTTTGAAAAACCTATGAAATGAAGACAGGGAGGCTAGTTGTTCAACACAACAGCTGTCCTAAAGGTAAAAACCTCAAACTGAAATAGCAGAAAACTTCAAACATTTCGTGGACCTACAATCTTGATCATTGGAGTCAAATCAGCTGACTGTTTAGCTAAATTGCCTACCATGCTTCCAAATTATAAGAATAATGTCACATTATCCCAGCCCCAGCCCCCTTGTACATTGACTTCTCATTTGAATCTTGATTCTAAGTAAACAGGCATTTTACTTCAGGACTTATAGTGCTGGGATTTTGGAAGTGTCATCAGAAGAATAAAAATAATATAAAATATTTCCCCTGGAGTACATTGTTAATTATCCATGTTGATTTTAAAAGCACTGATGTGTGTCAAAGTGAATTGTATAAACATGGAAATCTCAGTCTCAACAACACCATAATGTTTCATGTAAAACACCAAAGTAAATTTTTTGGAACATCTCCAAATGTTTGCTCAAAGTATTTGACCAGTCCTTTTGGAAAGAAATAGAAGACTGTCTTCTTTTCATTATAAGTAACAAATTGCTTGAGAATGTATTTCATAAGGAAAGGAGACTTCATGCATAGAGTCAATAGAAGTTGTTTTCCGGCTAGCTCTTGAGGAAAGCTCTGCAAATTGTCAATGGTAAGCTAAAGCCAAATCATGACAACACCAGGAAATGAAATCATTGCAAGTTAAAAAGACTGAAATTTGAAATCTTAGACCTGTACTTGAAACGGCAGCCATTATACAATTGTACTTTCCCACTATTTTGAACTGAGATTCTGCTTAGAGTAAACCACAAAGAGATGGGCTGTAGCAGTCATAGGAGTAAGAAAAAAAACCTTTCATTTATTTAAAAATTGGGGCTCTTAACCAAGCAAAGTATTGGGAGACTAGACACTAAATAGATATTTTGACAGGGTCAAATTAGGTGTCTGAAGCTGTGTCCTAGAAATAAATATAGTAGGATCAGCTCAGTTTATTTGCAACTAAAAAAGAAGTCAAGTTTCTTCCATGTCTCTTTTTAGTCACTCTTGCTTCAGAGCCACCCTCAATTCCAATTACCCTTTCCACTCCAATTTAGTCACCCACTTGCCCAGTCACAAGTTGAAATATTAACATCACTCCTAATTGCTCCATGACCAAGATGATTTTAAAGTCTGAAATTCCTTCTCCGGCTTTCATTTAAACTTAATCTATCAAGTATTTATTGAGTACCCATTAATATGTACTAATATGAGGATTTTTAAAAGTTAATTAATAAATACTTCCTTTCCTCTTTAATATCATCATAATTTACTACGTATTGAACACGTACAAATGTATAACTATACCACAAACTAGACTATAATATGTATTATCTTTATTTATACATCTTTCTCTTTTCCTCGCTCCTAAATTTCTTCTTTGCCCTCATTATTACCTCTTATACCTCTACCTCTCTGTATTCATGAGAGGGCTATAGTGTATTGTTTCCAGGGCAGGCTCTGGAATCAAACTGTTTGGTTTTGAAGTTTGACTCCACCTTATGCCAGATGTCTAACTTTGGACAATTTACATATACTCTCTATGCCTCAGTTTCTTCATCTATAAAGTGGATGTAACTTTATGTTGTAAAGCTTCTATATGATAATGCTTGTAAAACACTTAGAAGGTGTCTGGTATGTAGAAGGTGCTCAATAAATGTTAGATATTACCATCATTATTCTTCAAAGACTGTCTTCCCTTGCATCCCTTACATCTCTTTCCTAATACATGGCTAATTTGGGGGTTTCTGAGTTGCAACTTAAAATCCCTCATACCCTTCATCTTCAACTACAACTGTCTTTCAATCCCCAAAATGTGGTAAGTTCAATTATTTAATTTCTCCGTTACTCTCTTGCTCTATAAATATTGAGAAAAAAATCATGAAAGCCTTTCTAGCTTTCTTTCTACCTCTTCTGCATCCCCACCTAGGCTTTGCTGGTCTCCCTGTCTATAATGTACTATCTTTTCTTGTCATGTCTCTAAATCCTCACCCAAAATTTAACCTCCACCATAATGCCTTCCCGGCCCATGCTAACTCACACCGATCCCGCACTCCAATAACATCTGATGGTGTTTTTGTTTCTACCCATCACTTCTCAATTATTTACTGTTTTGTGCTTTCTATAATCTACAATATATTACAGCTCCTCAAAAGTATAACTGTTAAATAGAGGACTTCTCTAGGTACATAATTTTAAGAACATGCATTAATAAATTGCAAGATCTTGTTTCATCTCTTCATAAAACCAATATTCTATTACAAACTATAAATGTGAATTCAGAGGAGCCAAATTTCAGCAAGAAAATCAATAATTAATTAACAAGTATTATTTGAACTCAGCATTGTATTAGATAGTACAGCAGACATATAAGCATAACACTAGGCATCTACCCTAAAGTAACTTAAAATTTCATTGAGGAAATAAGATTCCATGAAAAGAGATAAGATTCACTATAAATTTTGAGAAATATACAGATTTGTAAAGGCAGAGAGATGAGAGAACATTGTTCTACGCAGAGTAACTATGATGTACTAAGCATGAAGAGAGATGAAAATGAATTCATACATATATATGAATTTCAGGATTTCAAGAAATATCATTCACTTCTTGTGGGAAAATAAATTAGTACAGATGTTAGGTGAGACAAATTTGGCAATATGTACCAAGAGCCTTAAAATACATATTTTCTTCTAGAAATCTTTTAAAATAAAATAATCAGTATTATGCACAAAACCTTGTACTCTTTCATGATTCTGTCTCCTCTCTTGCCTCCCCCATGTCTCACAAGACCTATTAGTTTTACTATATATATGTGTGTGTGTGAATATAATGTGCATATAATTTACACATCATACTTTAAAACTATTTGTTTTCTTTCTCCATTGTCACTCTCTAATCCAAGCCACGATAACCTTTCCCCTAGACCACTCTAATAGTTTCCTAACAGTTTTCTCTGCTTTTTCTATCTTAAATCAATTCACTACACAGTAGCAGGAGAAATCTTTTGACAATTTAAATCAGATGATGTTCCTCTTCTTATTAAAACTCTCTAATGGTTTTTCATTGCACTAGGAAAAAAATGCAAACTCCTGACGATGGTTTATAAAAAAAGCCCTCTTGGTCTAGCTTTTGCATACCTTGTGAACAATATTCCATGCTACTCTCCCCAGAGATACCTAAGCTTTAATCATACTTTATGTCCTTGAGTCTTTCAAACCTACAAGCTCTTTACCACCTTAAAGTCTTTACATAATGCTGATTTCTCCTTGCAACACTCTTCTCCACACACCTACCACTGTGTCCTCACTCCTCCTTCAAACACACACACATACACACACACACACACACATTGTTCCTATGTCTGGCTCCTTCTCATCATTTAAGTCTAGGTGTAAATATTATCTCCTCATAAATGTCTTCCCCAACCATCTTATCTAAAGTAGTCCCTACTAATACTCTTTGTCTGTATCTTTCCATTCATTTTCTTCATGACTCATTATAATTTTCAGTTATATACTTATTTACTTATTTATTATCTACATTTTCACTACATTACACATTCCCTGCAGCAGGGACTTTGCCTGATTTGTTTATCAATATGTACCTATGGCTTGCACAGTGCCTTATACATAGTAAGCACTTAATAAGGACTTGTTGAATGAAATAATATACAAAGACATTTATTGTAGCATTTATAATAGCAAAAAAATAGAAGCAAACTAAATTCCCAACAAAAGGTAAAAGTTTAATGAGTTATGGTAGAAATATGTGGTAGAATATATAGAGTTATTAAACATTATGCTATAAAGATTAATAATAATATTGGACAGAAATCACATGAGATTTAATTTTTCAAAAAGACACAAAACTATTAATATATGGTATCATATCCAAACATTTTTTTAATAAAATAAATGTGTATAGAGGGAAAATACTCAACAGATAGATACCCAGATATTAACATTGGTTATATCTTTATGTTTTGAGTTTATGGGTGACCATTAGTTTCCTACTCTTGATAATTTTCCATATTTTACAAGTGAAAAATAATAAGTGTTTAAAGTTAAAATGCCACAGTTTCACCAACAAAACGTAAGCAGACAAGAATTTAATTAAAATGCAAAGGCTATTTAACATTTGGAGGAGATTTGTGGCTATAAATTAGGGTTGAATTTAAGATCAAGTCAAATTGGTTTATATGTAGACCAATCATAGGTTCTCTAACTGTATAATTAAAGCATTGGATAGTTTACTTTTAAATTATGGTAAGAAGCATATAGGAGAATATATTCAGCTATTAAAGAGTCAATGTGCACTGTAAATTTTGTTTTCTATATATATAACACTTTTTCTGGTCTATACATTCTATTTTTGCCCAGAGTAATGTCAGCTTAAAATACAACTCTCACACACTGAGCAGTCTTGTCAATTAAAAAATGGTGGAGGCTATAAATGTTTATATCTGTTACCTAACTATTTAGAGGAAAAAGTACGTCTAAATCCAAGATTTTAGAAATAAGTACAAAAAATGTTAAATATGATCTTTCTACAACTCAGCTAAGGGAAATGTTCACATATATATGACAAGAAAATAAGTGTTAATCAATGTTTTTGTCAAAGGCACCTGCCCAATTCACCAATACTCATTCATTTACATTTTATTTCTTTTTAGTGCAGTTTCTCTTCTTGTAAAGGATATGTAAACAAAAATATGCACACACATACTCGTGCAGGGCATGTGTGCACACACACACACAAAGCTTTCTACTACTAATTTGTCCACATAAGGTGATATGACTACTTACCTGATATCATCAAGAAGCCACCTCCAACTTTATAACAGCCAGCACTGGCAAAGGGCACACCACACACCAGCAGAAATCCCCCAGCCAGACCAGAACCAACACCTAATATAAGAAATATTGTCCAGAAGCTTCTGTACACTAGAGAGTGAGAAGGAAAATACATACGTTAAAAAGTAGTCTATAAAATTAATACTAAACCTTGAAACCAATCTATCATTAGTGATGGATATTGTTTTTTTTTTGGTTTTCCAGCTTTATAGTTATTTGAATAAGTGTCTGAAACACTTCTTTCCATTTCTTCACCTAATTTTCTTCTACACATCTTTCAAAACACAACTCAGATGATATCTCTTACTAGAAATATTTTCTTACTACTATAGTCTGGGTTAGATTCTCCTTCAATGTGCTATCATAGCACACTTTGCTTATCTTTATAAAGAAATCTATCATACTATCCTGTTCTCTGTTTTCTTTTCTATATCCTTTAATAGGGTGAGACCTCCTTGAGGACAAAAGTTCCTTTTTATTCATCCCCAGTACTTACAAATGTTTGGCACATAGTAGGCCTCAAGAAGTGTTTGTTACATTGAGTTATTTGCATTCAATAAATCCTGAAAGGATAAGCACAGGATGTTTTCCCATTTGTAGCAGGCTTCCTGGCTCTAAGTTCTCTATGAGCACTCTATGACTTTGATTTCCCACGTGTGCAAAAAACCATAAAGTAGGACTCCAAGTTGTGATTAAAAAGCAGTATTCCTGACTCCTAATCCTTTACCCATGCCTTATACCTCCCTTCCTTCACATACAAAATTTATCAGCATCTACCAGTGTCTGTTTAACTTAAACCTGTGCTTCCTAATGACCCATCCTTTTCCTGACATGTAATTGTTTTTTTCTTCCACTAGTCTTTCTGAGTGGTTATATTCTTGTGCAGGAGGGGTATGTGAGCAGACTGAATTTCCCTTACAAGTATGCCATATAAATAAGTGTATCTAAAAATGCAAGATGAGCTACCACTTATTTTCCTGAAACTCTAAAGCAAAAGACCATGGAGCTCAAGGTTGCATCTGTTTTACCCTTGTTATGGGGGCTCTTACAGATCATCTGAGAGAAAAATACTATACAGTTATTCCTAATATATACACAGTGGAGTATTGAAAGCAATTATCTGGATTGTGAAGTGAATCAAATAACAGTTTTTTTGAAGGGTCTGGGTAGTTCAAGAAAAAAATGAAATGTGGTGTCTAAATTCTCCAGAAAGTCTTTCAATTTTTCGTTTACATTATAGCTACAATTTTTTAAATATATTCTTTTGACTCATTGCTTTTGGTTTTTCACCATAGAATTGAAACAACTTTCAGATAGTCTTTTTTATTTTTACAAATCCTAGTAACTGGAAGGTTGGAAGAGTGTTTTAAATCAAAATCGGCCAGCCTGAGAAAGCTATCTATGGGTAGATCAGGGAGTGGAATTGGCACGTGAAAACTGAAAATAATCACTCTACCTTACACCTGTTTAGAACCTCGAACCTCTTTCAAGGAACTTGCACAGTCCAGCCTCCACTCTTTTTGAAAGAAGTGCTTTGAGATGTCTGGTATTATGGAAGCTGGGTCCGTATTAAAGGCTGTACTCAGCTATTTGCTTGACTGTAAGTGACAGAAGCATCTCCATTTTGAAGTATGCAGCTATCCTGGAGGCAGAAATATCATCAGCAACAGAAAGGGGCAGCACCCTCTTTCAAACTTTGTAGCTAAGAAGTTAACATTTCTTTTGTCAATTTTCCATTAAAAGACATTGCTAAAGCCTAAGGAAAAGGTCGACATGTTTGTTTATTCACCTCCTTAAGGTTCCCCGAGTGAAAGACAAACAATTTAAATTCATCAATTAATATGAAACAAACATCTAAACAATTCAAATATTAGTCCCAATAAGAGAACACTATGAAAGAGTAAATACTATGCAAAATTTCTTGTATATGAGGATATAATTCTCATAAAAATTATTTACATGTGTTACTTTTATTGGTGGCCATGATTCCTTTTGTGAATTTTCTAATGTGCATCTGAAAATGCAATTTTCTCCAAGCTAAGAGGCCTGTGATAATTTACTTAGTCTCTCTGAGTCTCAGTTTTCGCAGAAGTAAAAAGAGACGATAATAACTCAGGGTAATTGTGATGATGGAATAAGTTTTTTATAAGAACATAGAGTGTTTAATAAATGATAGCTATGGGAGATCAAGATTTGGTCACCCTGAAATCTATCTCTTTACCTTGATTGTTTTCTCTGAGGGACATTTGACCTCCCCCACTAACTGCCTAA